GTGCCACGTGTAGCCGCGCGGCACGGGGTTTGAACAAGCCGGCATTTAAAAATGGCGCCGGCCGGCTTATGCAAATGAAGCCCGGGAAATTCAAATCCCGGGCTTCATTTGCACGTTCGGTACGCATACATTACCCCGCTAGTACGAACTAGCGGGGTAGTGTAGACATACCCTGAATGATCATCCAGAGAGAGAAAAAAAGTCAAGTATCTGGAAAAGTAGATAAAGATATTGACTAGTTTTAGGCAAATCAATTACATTTAAAAATGGTTTTAGAAAAGCTAATATCAACAGACATTTAGAAAAAAGGAATCAGCTAGCTACAGCAATGTGAGGGTATAGAGGGGTGTTTGTGTAGAGGAGCAGACAGAGGAGGGATTGAATCAAACCCATAAAGTGCTGTGATCCCAAAATATGCAGTCAGGCCCCTGTGCATGAACACCAGAGAGTGAAATTGACTAGGAAAAACGAGAATCTGGCCACCTTGTTTTCATTATTCAAACGCTATATGGCAAGCAAATGGTAAAATACCCAGCATAAATAGCAAGGCAAAATCAAGCTGATAAGACTGCCAAATAATCTAAGGAGCTATTGGGAACAGAGATAAGAAAACTGATTTCTAATATGTGAATTCAGGGCTGACACAGCCATCTTAGTGGGCCGCTGGTGACATTTGGGGAGTTAAGGTTCTTTAAATTCTTTCTATTTGTGGGTTGTCTTCACTTATGTCTCACAGTTGCCACGTTGTGCCCTCAAGTCATTCCTCTGATTTTGGGAGAGATTGGGAAGGAGAAAAATAGTCAGAAGGATCCAGAAGGCTGCTTATTGTTTGTAAAAGTTAGAAGTGGGGTTGTTTGAAACACCTGGTGTTCTAACAGTGGGGTTTGTTTGAACACTTGAGGCAGGGGAGTTTGATACCCTATAGACAGTATGTAAAATATTTATTAAGAAGAATATCTATTTTTAACAGGATGATTTCAGTTCTATTATTGATGAGTCTGCAGTGCACATATTTCAGTGCTTGTCGTCTTGTATCCAATATGATTCAGAGCACTGGAGCTTGGAAACTGTCCAGCAGGGAAGTGAGTTGTGAACGCTGCTGTGCGGCTCTGCAAACAATGTGGGCGGGCCTAAATTATTTTGTGCGGCTGTGCAGGCGCACAGCTTAGAGGGAACTATGGATAAGTATGATAAGTAGAACTGTTGTAACAACTGATTTCTTCTTCCTCCCTTTCATTATCTTAAAATAAGACTGGGACTATTAGAACTTCCAGTTATCTTCTAACAGTGTTTAGGGCTGCACCCTCCGCGCTCGTGACATTTTTGCTGCTCAGAAGTAGTACTGCCATTTTTGTGATGTATGTGATGTGTTTGCTGCTACTTTGATAGAACATACCTTTGGTTCCCATTGGAACTATATGCCACGTGGGCAGGTTTCCAAAACACACAGGGCATGCACACAGAGAGCTCTGTGGGGAGGGTGATCTCCCCTTAGGAGCCTGCTGGTTGCCAGGCAGATTAGGGTCATGTGACCATGGACCCTCTGGTTACCAGGCAGATTGGAGTTATGTAGCTATGAACCCTCTGATTAATCCATATCTTGAAGGGGAAAACAAAATGGAGGACATAAAAGAAAACGGGTGTCTCTCCCCCCAACAACTCCTTCAGTCTCTGTTCATATCGGGTCCTCGACTGCTGCGTCTCTGCCTTTTAAATGTAGTAAGAGCCAGGCGGCTCTTAATACATTTAAATGGCAAAGGTGTAGTGGTCCCTCAGTCAGTGTGAGCTGGGACTTGGCTCGCACCGCCCCCGGGAGCTAACTCTGCTGCGGCTCTGCAGTTGAAATGTAGTAGGAGCCAAGCTGCCTGCATGTCCAGCTCCTACTACATTTAAACTGCAGATCCACAGTGGGGGTAGCGGGTGCCCCCTCCCAATTTATCGAGTAATTGATGGATATTCCATCAACTACTCGATTAGCTAAATAAATATTACTTAACATCCCTAGTTTTTAGTGCACTAACGTTACTTATTTTTTTAGTCTAATGCAAAGACTGACTGGCTTGCTTATACACTTTCTTGTGTCCAAAATGAAAGAGAAAGTTGTTGAAAATTACTTTTTCAATTACTCAGCATTTTGAATCCCAGGAAGAGATGGCTCAAATCTGTGTAATTAAGATTGGAATAGTTGGGCTATAAGGATAGGTACAGCCCTGCAAATCCACAGATACCCAATTCATGTCTGTGGGCATTTGCGGATGTCAGTGTGGATATCCATGGCTCATTTTTGTGGAAATGGATACAAATTTTGTATCTGTGCAGGGCTCTAAGGATAAGAAGATACAAAGTATACTCTAGGATTTCCTTGGTTTTGTAAGGTACAGAAAGTATAGTGAATGCAGTGATACGGTGCTTTGCAATGATTATTTAGCAGAAAAATACGACGACAGACAGGTAATAGTAAACTGCAGACCACTAAGGCTTGGTCTTCATTTAACATTTATATGACATAGCTGCATTAGTCAGGGTTAGTGATGTTAAATTCTTGGGAATAAAATTTTGGAGAATATTCTCAAGAATGTTCTTGGGAATATTCTCCAATGCGAAAATTTTTGAGAATTTTCTTTTAAATACTTGTTAAATAGTTTTTAAAGAATTTTACTATTTATGATAATGTATTTCTTTAATAAAACTTCAAGATTCATGAAAGTTTCCAATTGCTAAAATGAAAATTTGGGAAAGTAAAGAAAAAAAGACAGAGGTTTAAATTACTAGAACTTTTATTACAAATCTTCTATTGCAGGATACAAATATTTTTAACATTCTGGATTGAATACAAGTCTAATCAGAATCTGCACTTTCTGAATCTGACCCATATATTTCTATCTCTTCTTCTTCCTCATACATATCCTCTTCTTGGACTTCTTTCTCTTCAGCATCATCCATTTCTTCTTCCTCATTACTCTGGTTCTGTTTCCCTTTTTCTCTTGGGGATTTCAATGGAGCATCATTTGGGTTTTTAAGAAACTTTATATTAGGGGCTATGAATGTCAGCTTGCCTGCCCTTTCTTATGTTAACTTGTTTCTTTTTACATTATGAATGATACTGTAAGTACTGAAACTTCTTTCAGTTGCTGCCATTGTTGGTGGCATATTCAATATGTTGATCGCTACTTTCCCTAACAGACATTACCACTTCAAATGCAACCCCCACCTTTTCCATTATTTTCAATTAACCTTCTTTTTTCTTAGGGAGCCATGATCAGTCTCTTCTAGTCACCCAGTGGTCAAAATGCCTGAAGATCAGCTCAGAGAACCCTCATCTTCAAAGTCTATCTTCAGGGTTTCCATTACCATCAAATAGGCAAAGATTTTTAGGTGCCTAAATGTGTGGCCAGATTTGTAAATGCCCTGGCCACCTAACAGATCTAATTGATAATCAGGTCATTTATTAGCTGCCTAAATATGGATTTAAGAACCTAACTTTTGGTGCCCATTATTGAACAAATTTGGCACACAGTCTGTAATGTAAACATCTCTTCTGCAGGGAAGCCTTTGTACCACCTACTATCAGAAGTTCTCAGACGGAGTGAATCCATTTCCTATGAAACTAGAAATAGTGTCTTCCTTTAGGCATAGGAGCCAGCTTCATTTTCCTATGTCTGGTAGCCTAATCTACATGCCTCTGGCGACAGAGGCATGTAGTCTAGACATACCCATAGAGAAAGAATGAGTTTGCTCTATAGTCTTAGCTGAGATCCAGCTGCCTTTTAGCTTAAGCTATAGTGGCTCGTGCACTAAGTCCCTTCGGTCGGGCGTTACACAAACTCAATGAACAGTGTTTCCAAGAAAAAAATGTTTCATTGTAGATATTTCCCCCCTTGAGTTTTTTCTTATTTCTGAGGAGGTAACTTCTTCTCAGCAACCTCATTTATACTGCGTGTTTTCATTGCACTAGCACACTGCACAGTCCTCATTGGATTTTTATTTCTCTCTTTAGCAAGTCAGGGGATTTACTTGTCACAGGATCAGCTTGTCTTTCCCTCAAGAAATGGCACCATTATCCTAGTGTCATTCTGCTATTCTTTTTGCATGGTTTGTGGCACCATTCTAACTCATCAGTTCCATGCAATAGAATTTTTAGTTTTCAGGACAGCTCACTCACTACATCAAAATCCTAGAACTGGAAGGTCGTCCAGTCCCCATCGTGCATACAGATCTTTCCTCCTACTCTTGTCTTCAATTATTCACACAAGAGAGTTATAAATATATACTTATAAACCTAATTGTGCAGTACTGTCCTTGGTGTGGATTTCCATCTGCTCACACGGTGGATCATTTTAACAATGAGGAACCCATATACATGGGCATTTGTGGTGAGAGAAAATGTAAAAGGTTCACAAGTTTATTCAAGATAGGTATCTAAATTTCTACATGCTTATCTGAATTTTTCAAATATCTGCAGTCTGAAAATTGGGTTGGAAAGATTACCCTTCTTAATCTCCCACCTCAGTCTTTAACCACTGGTGCTCCCTGGTAGTTGTAATCCAGTCCCTAGGTCCCTTAACATTAAACAATCAAAAAACCAAAACACTCTGCATCTGTGTAGGTAAGTTCATATCTTTCTTTGGAGTGCATTTCCGTGGTGTAAACTCAATCCTGGCTTAATTCATGGACAGCCCCAAAACCGTGAAGATAGCAAATATCCAGGATTGCAAAGCCAAACTGCAAACTGAATTGGAGTCTTGATTTGTAGACTGCTACACTAGTGTAACTGAGTAAAATACACTTTAAGCATTCTCATGTATGAATAGAGTATTATTTTTGTTTTCACTGGTTTAAATGAAAGAAACAAAAAGTACAGGGGAGTATTGCATAGATTTATAATAGTGATTTTTGGCAATGTTTTTCTTAAGGCAAATAGAAACTAGTTTTTTGCCTATTCTTTCATGCTGTTCCTTTTGTGTGTGTGTTTTTTTTTAAATCACACTTGGAGGACAGAACTCTCTCCTTCCTATCTGAGATAGAGGAGAAGAGAGAATTCAGAAAGACTTCATTTGCATATATTTAACTGTTGCATTTCTGCACAATGTATTATGGAGTTTGGAATTTGCTAGTGTTCTATTTTGGACTGCTATATGAAATGGTGCATGTAAAAGGTTATTTGTCTTGGAAAGAGAGGACAGCACACTGGCTGACAAGAAAGGCTTGGTGGACTTCTCAATCTGAAGATCAATCTGAATGACTTGTTGCACTGGAGAATATGCTTGGTATTATGGAGAGTGCTCGGGTTCTGTACAACAGATTTCCTAACTCAAATCAACAGTAGGGGAAAATCTGTCCATCACCATAAAGGCTGGAGAAACTATTAGAAAATGTTGTGAAAGGAGCAGTGATTCACAAATGTATGGATCAAGTTAAGAGTCTTCCACGTGTAGAGGGGGATGTGTTGAGGATGAATTGATGCTGCTTAGATATCAAATAAGGGAACAACCAAGGAGTTCTTCTAACTCCTTACAGTGGATGAGTGTTTAAGGAAGAAGAGAAGTGGGCAATCAAAGATGTTTGTCAGCCAAATGTCATTTGAGCCAGTGAGTACATTACCTGTGCAACCAGCTAGATCTGTGATCCCCAATGTGGTGTCCATGGGCGCCATAGCGCCCGCCGGGGCATTTATGTGCGCCCGCCTAGTGACAACCTCTCGTCACTCATGTATTGCTGCTTGTGACGGGGCATTGCGACCCTGCACTCCGGGCCCCCCTGCTACCGCTCTGCTCGCGGCACAAGGGGTTAGGTGCTGGCTGTATGCTGGCTATTCGCATGCCGGGAGTCTGGCGCGCCACTTTAAAGTGCCAGGGAGCGCAAGCAGTGGGAGAGAAAGAGGGCAGACAACGAGAAATGGTGCTGGTGCCGGAGCTACACAAAAGGGGGTAGGGTACTGAGGAGCGACGGGGGTGATATCACTGGAACTGGGACGGGTGGCGGGGGATTTAAAGATGGCTGGGGGAGGTGCACAGGAGGAAGGAGGGAGTCAGTGAAAAGAAAGAGCTGGGAGGTCAAACATGAGGAGGGAGAGGTAACATTTTGCCCCAAAATGAGTGGTTCAAATAAAAGACAACGTACATATTATTTCAACGCAGAGTGGGAAGAATCCTATTGTTTTATTGATGATAAAGGGAAATGTATTCGCTTATTGTGCGGTGGTACTGTTGTAGCGCCAAAAAAACATAATGTTGAATGCCACTTCCAAACTAATCACGGCTCTTTTGACATTAGCCATCCACTTAAATCTGAGTTGAGAGAGGTTTGATTTGAGTGGATTAATTTTCTTCTATCTGTCCAGCAATCTGTTTTCACTGGACAAGTGGTAAAGTCTAAAAGTACTTGTATTGCTTCCTTTAAAATTGCTTATTTGCTCGCAAAGAAGAAAAAACCCTTTCAAGATGGTGAATTGTTGAAGGAAGCATTTTTGACTGGTGCTGATTGCCTGTTTCCAGGGTTTTCTAACAAGCGTGAGATTTTGTCGGCAATGCAAGACTTGCAGTTATCAGACAGTTACAAGGAGGATACATGCAATTTCAAGTGACATGCAAACTCAGCTAAAGGATGACTTGGAAATATGTGACTGGTTTTCACTGCAGTTCGATGAATCGACAGATATATCAGATACAGTGCAGTTGGCAGTTATGGTGAGGATGGTATTTAATGACTTCACCATAAAAGAAGAGTTACTAAAAGTATTGCCCAGGGCGCTGTCAGTGGTGGAATGGACCCCCACTTGGGAATCCCACCTCAGCACGCCAAGCTTCTAGGGTTCAATTCCCCACCCTGGCTACTTCCTACCAATGTCCTCTGGGTAATCCTTTCCATCTCTCCCCTCTGGACTGGGGACCTCCCGCTGACGGGCTTTTGAAAAACCATGTGAATTAATTATACCTATTTTCCATTAAGTGCTGATGAACGCGTATGATTAACTTGTGTTTAACTTTTTTTCATATTTGTTTGTTTGTTTGTTTCTTGAAATCCAGATACAAGTAACAATACAAAGAATATTTTTTAATTAACCATAACCGACTATCTATGTTAAAGTAAGAATAATAAATCTATTTGGACCAGCAGTTCAACAATGTTTTACTTTTTTAAAATAAATAAGATGAAAACTGTTTGATATTTATTTTGTAAAAACTCCTTAATTTTTCTTACAGGTAGATAAAAGAGCAAATTCACATGGTAAGGTGAAAGAGTAATTGCAGAATAATTTAATAAATTCCTTTTACATGTAAAATTACCTTTTTTATCTTATGGATTCATATATTAAATATTTCAATATGATGTTTTTCGTATTATTTAATGTAAAAATACAAAATAAGTCTTGAAAAATTGTTGGCGCCTGCCACGCTCTTCTGAAAACATGAATGTGCTATTGGCCACAAAAAGGTTGGGGACCACTGAGCTAGATCGCTGGAATGATTTCCAAGGTGGCATTATCACAATTGGTACAGAAATTGACTGGTCAGGTTGCTGCACTTGCCAAATAAAGCTTTCAAAATAAAGAGAACTACAAACTGTGAAAACCAGGAAGAAACCACCTACTGCAGTGGTCCCGAATGCGGTGCCTGCGGGTGCCATGGCATCCGCCGGGCCATTTATGTGCGCCCACCGAGTGATTGGGGTCAGTCCTGCACCTGGGCATGTGATGCATGGGCGGTGCTGGCCCCTGGGTGTGCAGCATATGGGTGGCCATGCCTCTGGGTGCACGGTGCAAGGGCTGTGCCGGCCTCGGGCACACGGCATATGGACGCTGCTGGCCCCTGGGCGCGCGGCACATGGGCGCTACTGGCTCCTGGGCATGTGGCACGGGAGCGGCACTGACCCCAGGAGTGCGGCATGTGGTTGGCGCTGACACCGGGCATGCAGCGTATGGACGGCCCCAGCCCCTGGGCACGCAGCGCAGGAGTGGCGCTGGCCCCAGGTGCGCAGTGCGTGGGTGATGCCGGCTCCTGGCGTGTGGCACAGGAGCAGCACCGGCCTCAGGAGTGCAGCGCATGGATGTCACTGGCACTGGGCACACAACATATGGGTGGCCCTGCCTCAAGGCGCGTGTGTGGCTCTGCCCCCGCGTGCCTGGCGTGTGTGCGGCCCCGCCCCCGGGAGCCTGGCAGCCCCAAAAGGTTGGGGACCACTGACCTAGAGCCTTTTCCCTTTGAGAGCAACAAGGGAAAAGATGGGCTTTCTTAGTATGACCAAGTTATCCTTAGAGTAAAAGCTTTAAACCCACCCCCTTTTTGAATGTGCTGGGATCTTCACACCCACAGCACAGCCCATTTCACTCTTGATGGTCTAGTCCTGCAGTCAGCTCTACCCGGGGCTTAAAATTTCTTGTGAGAAACACTATATAGAACCCACTTGGCTTTCAAACAGAACTGAGAGATCGAATTTGGCTTTCTCTACCTAACTAGAGCCCAAATAAAGGACCGCCTCTCTGTTATCTCTGACTTGCTCTCTCCAGGCTGTACATTTCTGTTTATCCCCTCCTTACATAAATAGTGTTATGTGCCTCATTTAATATAATTTCCAGAAAGTATACTAACAAACTGCAAATAACATAGTAAAAAAACGCTTTACAGAAAATGCAATAGGGTGAGATTGTACAGAGTAAATCAAAACTGCTAGAACTAGCTTTTCCTCTTTGCTAATGGGAAGCAGTTCTATCCCTCTGAGTTTTCTAGCTCTAAGGTTTACACATTCTTGGCTGCTTGGCTTAAAATAAAGAGTTTTAAAGAAACAGAATTAATGTAGTTAACTGTGATGTGTCTGTTGAGGCGTGTAAATTTGCTACCACACTAACTTTGTTACCATTTTTTTTTTCAAGCTTATTTCAGATTTGATTTTTAAAGGAGGTTTGAACATGTTGCATCCTTAATCTGTGAGCAGAGTTTATTGGGGGCAGTACTTACTTGTTACTGTGGCTGTCTATGTTTAAGCATTTCTTCTCTCTTAATGTACAGTATTAGCGCTATGGGTAGCAATTTAAATCCCCAGTTCAATACTGCTAATTCAGGCAGTCCCACTGATGACAACATTCACAATGAGGCACCAGCTTTTCACTGCAAGAGCATTTTGGCATAATTTTTCTACTCATGAACCCATAGATTTGAGAAGTACAATAAAATGTAGAGAGAGATGTCTGGAAAAAAATAACTGTCACTAACCTGAACTGTGTGCGCAATTGTAAAATTGCATATGCCTGACAGAGTAGAGCTTGACTGTGTGCAGTTTATTTTTTGTACTTAACTTTTTCTTTTTTTCTTCTCTCCTTTTTCATCTCTTCTGTCGCCTTTTCCTTCCTTAAACTTTCTTTTGACAAACAAGCTAGAAATTGTCTTCCTATTTTATGTTCTCTATCTCCTTTACAATGATCTGTTCTATTCTCTCCTCTGCCCTTTATCCTTTGTTGTTTTTCATCACCGCCCACTTATTTTTTTTTCTTGTTGTTCCCTCTTCACTTTAGATGGGGCTACTATAAGATGGGTTCATAACTGGCTGGATAACCATACTCAGAGTAGTTATTAATGGTTCACAATCCTGCTGGAAAGGTATAACTAGTGGGGTTTCGCAGGGATCTGTTTTGGGACCGGCTCTGTTCAATAGCTTCATCAACAATTTTGATATTGGCATAGAGAGTATACTTATTAAGTTTGCAGATGATACCAAGCTGGGAGGGGTTGCAACTGCTTTCGAGGATAGGGTCATAATTCAAAATGATCTGGACAACTTGGAGAAATGGTCTGCAGTAAACAGGATGAAGTTTAATAAGGACAAATGCATAGTACTCCACTTAGAAAGGAACAATCAGTTTCACACATACAGAATGGGAAGCGACTGTCTAGAAAGGAGTACAGCAGAAAGGGATCTAGGGTTTATAGTGGAACACAAGCTAAATATGAGCCAACAGTGTGATACTGTTGCAAAAAAGCAAACATGCTTCTAGGATACATTAACAGGTGTATTGTGAGTAAGACACGAGAAGTCATTCTCGCATTTCAAGAAAGATGTGGAGAAATTGGAGAGGGTCCAGAGAAGAGCAACGAGAATGATTAAAGGTCTAGAGAACATGACCTATGAGGGAAGACTGAAGGAATTGGGTTTGTTTAGATTAGAAAAGAGAAGATTGAGGGGGGACATGATAGCAGTTTTCAGGTATTTCAAGGGGTGTCATAAGGAGGAGGGAGAAAACTTGTTCATCTTGACCTCTGAGGATAGAACAAGAAGCAATGGGCTTAAACTGCAGCGAGGGAGGTTTAGGTTGGACATTAGGAAAAAGTTCCTAACTGTCAGGGTGGTCAAACACTGGAATAAATTGCCCAGGGAGGTCGTGGAATCCCCATCTCTGGAGATATTTAAGAGTAGGTTAGATAAATGGTCTAGACAGTATATGGTCCTGCCATGAGGGCAGGGGACTGGACTCGAGGTCCCTTCCAGTCCTAGTATTCTATGATTCTGTGAATATGAGTCCACTTTTATATAGGTGCTTAAACATGCGTTTAGGAACCTAAATGGAGGCATCCAAATTAGAAAATTTTGGCTGTCATAGTTAATACACTTGAACCTCCGCACCTGTAATTCAGACCCTAGCCAGGGAAGAAGGAAGTGCCTCTTAGTGCTGCTGCTTCCCCCCCACTCCCCAGCAGGGGGAATGGCAGCACAGAGAAGCCTTTCTCTGGAATGGCGCATGAAAATGATGGGGTCTGTGGAACCACATGTGCCTCTGGGAGTGAGGTGTCAGGTAAGCACCCTCCCACTATCTCCCTCATGCTCCTTTCCTCCCAGACCCCACACCCCCCACCTACAGTGTGCTCCTGCACCCTCCCTCCCTCTCATAATTGTATGTTAACCTACTACATTTAAAATACGCCTTTGTTATTAGCATTCCCCAGGAATCTTGGAAAAGACCTGGTAAGGCGGCTTGAAAAGTCTGTATTATTCAGTTGCCCATTAACTTTACTAAAGGAGCTATAAAAGACAGAAGCCAGCTGACAGTAAAAAAATAAAGCGCACTTCCCAGAAATTTAAAATCTCTGGGCAAGTAATCATTTGGCAGACGAGCTGTCATTTCTCTTTTTGCATTTTCTATTAGGAAGGCTTAATCTGTTGCTAACTAATATTTCTTTAACATTAAGGTGTATAAAATCAGAAGCCTCTCTATGCAAGCTAATCTTTTTCTCGTGTCTTTCCAATCTAGTCTGTCCAAAATGCTGCTGCTGTCAGGATCATTTTCCCATCCTGCTGTTTACCTCCTCCTATAGTCTCTGGCTTTCCTTGCTTTTTTTGTAAAGGTCAAGTTTCTCATTCAAAAACGCCTTATAACTTCAGTCCTTATATATATATTTTTCTGTCATTTCCTCCTGTGACCCATGCGACTACCTGCATTCCTCTCATAGTCCTCTCTTGACCACTTCATTTGTCTCCATCCAGTCCAGGTTTCATATCTTCTTTTGCATCATCACTGTTGGCTGCAGGACTCAATTACTTTGAAACCATCATTGACCATGTTCCATCTCCAAGTATTTACCTTTTCTGCCACGTATTTAAAGAATCTTTGGTAAAAAGACCAGTAACCTCTGTAGTGGCTTTACATTGTGTGCTCTGTGGCAGCATCTTTTATTTATTTAGTTTTGTCCATCTAGCGTGCTGTATATACTTGTTTTCATCTTGTCCATTAGAAAACGAATGGCTCCATGGGAACGTTTCATGATGATTTGATTCTCCTGGCAATGACACTCACTGTGGGAGATTCTGCTGTTAGCATTGCTCATTGACTACTCTAGGGGTATGTCTACACTTGCACCCTAGTTCGAACTAGGGATGCAAATGTAGGCATTTGAAATAATCAGTGAAGCGGGGATTTAAATATCCTGTGCTTCATTAGCATGATCTCGACGGCGCGTTACTCCGATAAACAGCTGTTTCGAAAGTGAAAGTGCGCGCCGGGTCGCGTTAGTTTGAACCAAACCCCTTGGTTCAAACTAACATTACTCCAATCCACAGCTGTTGTAAAAGTGTATGGAATGAGGCACCATAAGTGTTATACCTTTTAGCAGTTTAGCCAAAGCTCTTCCACAATGTTGCATCCTATGTGCAGACAGGAAATAAGACTGCCAAGCATCATGCTGGCCAGAAGTGTACT